GCGGCCCAGATGGGAGGACACACAGGCCGTCCACACAGCACAGCGCCAACAGCAGCCCCCCCACACCACACGCGCACCCCACCCCACACGCGGCACACATCAAGCCACACCACACTCCACACACCGCACAAACCGCCGCATCGAGAAGTCACACAGAGCAGGCTGGAACGTCCGCAAAGGCCCCGCCCCTCTGGGGGCCACCAGCAGGGAGGCCCACAGACTGCACCCCATGTTCTGGGGCCCACAGGTGTCCCTGACTACCCCGGTGCCTGCTGTCCACAGCGTGTCCTCCCCACCCCACACGGCACACGGTGGCACTTGAGTGAGGAATGGGGGGGCATGGGGAGAGGGAGGGGAGCACTCCCGTGGGGGGAGGGGCTCCCCCACTGTTCCCGCCTCCTCTCACTCCCCCTGACCAGCCAGCCACCCCCAGGGCCCAGCAGTACATTTACACTCAGGGCGGGTGGGGCCAGCCAGCCCCTAGGGGCTGGGGAGAAGCAAGTTGGAGCTGGAGCTGGGCTGCTCTGCACCCCCACACCACCACCCCGTGAGCCCCAGGGGGTCAAGGCGGCTTTTCAGGTTCCTGTCTGTGCTCTGGCCTTGAGCAATCAAGTCTCCCACCCCAGGCGGGGCAGCCAAGTGGGTGGGGGTGTCTGGTCGGTGGAGAGGTGGGGGGAGGCAGAGAGACCAAGACTTCTTTCCCTGGGGTCCCCTGTAGCCCCACTGACAGAGGGGGGACCTGGGGCGCAGACTGGGGCTGGCGGGGGGGGAGTACTAGGCTCACAGGCTCCTCAGCAGGCCCCACCTCTCACCAGCCGCTCAGGTCACGGCTCCCTGCTGGGAAGCTGCGGCCCAGAGAGGTCAAACTTTCTCTGGGTGGCACAGGGCGGGGTGTTGAGGTCTGGGTTCCAGGAGGCGCTCTCACTGGGGTCCTCTTCCCCAGGGCACCGGCTAGGCTGGAGGGCCCTTCCTGACCCCGGTCCAGCCTCCTGCACTTGGGGCTCCCTGGGGATGGAGGGTTGGACCCAGGCAAGGGTCTGTGGGGAGACAGACAAGCGGAGGAAGGGGTCCCCAATGCAGGAGCTTCAGCTGCTTTCCCGCTGGGGCACAGGCAGCCCCACTCCAGGCTGAGGCGGGGCAAGGGTCTTAGTGGGGAGCCAGGGGGAGAGCCCCTGCAGCCCCAGGGTCCTGGGGCCTGTGCCCCCAGCCGGCCTGGGCGCACCAGAGGGCCCAGCGCCCCCTCGGGAGTCCGTCCTCAGGTGGGCGACAGGACTCGCAGCAGTCTCAGGAGCTGGTTGGGGTTATATGGGGCTTGGGGTGTGGAAGGGGATCCAGGGCCGACGTGGTGGGGGGCTCCCTGTCCTCCGCCTGGCCCACATTCCTGCTTCCTTGGGCCCTTTAATCTTCCCCACTGCATGTGCCTTAAGGCCCTTGATCAGGTCGAGCCACCGACCCCTCCCAGGAGACACCACTTCCTGCCCGCTCCAGGAAGCCCTGCAAGCCTCAGCCTCCCCTAGAACAGTCCAGAAGGAGGGCACCGCGGGGGTGGTCTGTGTCCAGGGCCATCAGAGGAGCAACAACCTGAAGCTCGTCCACCATCTCCTTTGGGGGCCTTGGGAGGCCTCCACCACTCACCCGCCGGGTTCCCCCACTTACAGTCTGCGCCTGGCAGCCCGGGACGCTGCCGCCCGCCCCTGGAAGCCCCTTGCGCTCTGCGCTGCTTTCCAGTTCTGCACAGCGGAACCCCAGAGGCTGGAAACCACCCGCCAGGACCCTTTGGGGGCCGGAGCACCCCAGTGTGTTCTCTGGGGGAAGACGCCTCCCGGCTAAGGCGGGGTAACCTGTCACCAGGCCCTGTCCTCGCAAGCTCTGTGTCCAGTGGCAGACGTGCCCGGGGCAGCGAGCATGGCCACGCCTGGGCTAAGACAGGTGCCCAGAGCTGGCTCCCTGCAGGGCCGAGGGGCAGCTCCCCCGACCCGGATGCACAAGAGGCTGCGGAACTTCCCCGGAGCGCTCAGTTGAGCTCAGATAGAAATCAGTGAGCTCTGGGGGGGGGGGGCAGCCCAGGCAGGTGTGGGAGGTGGGAGGCACCCCAGCGCCCCCCCAGAGGACGATCCGGGGCCCAGCGCCCCCCCAGAGGACCAGCCGGGTGGGCATCCAGGCAGCGAGGTGGAAGCCGCTCGTCCTCAGCTCCTCGCCCGCCTTCTCCCTCCACAGAATTCATTCATTGAGCAGCTGCTGCACACCAGGCTCTGTGGACAGGAGGGACGGCGTTCCAGCCTCAGGGAGCCGGTGCTTTGGTGAGGGAGGTGCGGACAGGCCCTGCGGCCCCAGGGCCCGGCACAGGGGTTCAGGCTCTGCTGCGGCCAACCCGAAATTCTTAATAAATTTTACACAGGGGCCTGAGTCCGCCTTCTGTGGGTCCTTGCAAATGATGGGGCTGACTGTGAACACAGACGTCGGCCCGGGCAACGCCAGGCTGGCCGCCGGGTCCGGGGCGGCTTCTGGAGGCAGCCTTGGGCCGGCCTGGGCCCCGGGCATCGTCATCCAGACCACAGGTCCCCTGGGGCCTGGGCAGCACCAGCAGCAGGACCTCAGGCCCCCAGAGCCGGGATCTCTGCTGTAACCAGCTAGCGTGGGCACAAGGTCGCGCTTCCGCGGGCATGACGGGAGAAGCCAGGGGGAGGGGCGCCTCCCAGCCGCCCCACGCAGCTGGCGCCCACTTTCCCGTGCACCCTCTGAGGTGGTACGTGCACATGGCCAGGAGTCCACGCTCCCGGACCCCGTTTCACCACACAAGGTGGCTGGAGGCCACGCGGCTGTTTCAAGGTCACCTGCTCGCGTAGATGGAGCAGCCGGCGCCCGCAGCAACAGTGGGGGTGCCGGGTGCCTGCGTGGGCGCCTGGTCTTGGCATCCCCCCAGCACACTGTGCAGCCAGACGCCCCCTCCCCTCACCCTAACTGCCAGGACTGTGGTGGAGGCAGCCCAAGCTGGGCCCCCACAGAGGTACCTGGCTCAGAGAGGTGTGGCCACCGTCCCGGGGTCACACAGCCGAGTCATTGGGGCCCTCACAGCCCTGCCACCTCCCGTCAGGCTCGCGTTCCCGGGCCCCTGTCCATCCGTGCACAGCCTCCCCATCCCAGATGGGGAGCCCCCACTTCAGCAGGTGAGTCGCTCACAGGGCCCTGTCAGCAGGTGGACTTGGCGTGAGTCCAGCTCACCGGAGGGCCGGTCTGGGCCCATGGCCAGCTGGGGTGGGGGTCAGGGTCCCCAGTGGCTTGTGCCTGTGGCCAGGGCAAAGAGGACTGGCCACAGCTGGTTGACGTACCTGAGGCTGGGAGCAGCGGCTGGGTCAGACGCTTGTTTGCTCGGTGAGTTTGCCCCGAGCCGCCTTGGAGAGCTGTGCCCCGGCGCCCGCCGGGAGCAGGCGCTGCCAGGGACGGGGAGTGTTGGTGTCCCTAGACAGAGCTGCCCTGGAGTGGTGGGCCCTGGGCCCTCGCGCGGGGCACCGAGGGGCGACTGCTGGGCAGCGTCCTCCCTCCCGTCCAGGCCACGCAGGCGCAGCGCAGTTGTTCCGAGCTCTGTGGGTGCTGTTGTGGCTGGGTCAAGGGGGCTCAACCTTGGGGCATAATGGGCCCTGTGATGAAAGCTAAGGATGGTCGGTCTCCGTCAGGTGATACGCTGGGGTTTCTTAGATCAGCTGATTTACTCCTCGGAATTTGAGGCACAGAGAGGTTGGCACACTGAGGGCACGCCGCAGGGACGTGGCTAAGCCAGGCACCCCAGCTCACTGCGCCCCGAGTAACTGGATGTATGTGTGTGGGTGTGAGCCACAGACTCCTGCGCGCACTGTGCTTGGCACCCAGGGAAACCGGGGATGAGTCCAGGGAGGCGCGAGGGGGCGGGGCTGCAGAGTGCAGGTTAAGCTCCAGCTTCGGGGTTAGCCAAGCCAGGTCTCTGGGGTCCAGGCCTTTCTGGGGCTCAGATGAGACCCACCGGCGGCGACTCTGGAACTTTGTGGCGCTGAGACCCTGCTCCTCTGCCGCAGCTCTGGGTGATTTCTCGAATGGAGGGTAGGTACGACTTGCAGCTTTTCCCTGTTGATCTCCCCGTTTTCTATGGCAGTGACAAGAACAGGGGTGAGAGCTGAGTGGAGCCTGCTCATGCGCCCATTCTGCTCCCTGCAGGGGTTCTCCTGAGGTCTGAAGTCCTGGGTGCCCCGGGTGGTCATCAGGGCTGGATTTCTGCTTGCCCCACTTTACCAGACTCCCCTCTCCCTGCTCAGCACTGCCCGGGGGAGGTGGCCTCCCTCTGCCCCGCGGCCTCTGCCTGACTTCTCCGGCCCTCCGAGCAGCCTCTGCTGCTTGTGGCCTCTGTACTCTCCGAAGGGAAAGTCCTTCATGCCCCCGGGCCTTTCACGTGCTCCCGCTGTCTGCCCGAAATGCTGTTCCCACCATTTCCACGGACTCCTCTTGCCAGCAGGTCTCCGCTGAAGTGTCCCCTTCTCAGGGAAGCCCTCCTGGATCAGAGATGAGCAATGAGACGTTTGCAGTGTCCAGGGTCATGCTTGGCCAACCTTGAGCTCCAGGAGTACAGGGACCCAACCCAGGAGGCGATCGGAAATGCTAGGCAGTGGGAAGAGCCTCTCCGTGGGAGCCTCCCTACTGTGTGTGTGCCTCAGTTTCTCTGCCTGCGAGGCCAGGGGAGGGTCACACTGCTGTGCCTCCCTGTGACGGCCCTGGCGCTCCCCCGGGGTTCTGGCAGAGGTGACACTCATTTCACGGAATTTGACTTCCTTGATTATCTGATTTTCCAGGGAGGAATTTTAAATCTGTGTTGGATGGCATCTGCCGGGTACCTGGGCACCCGTCCCATCTCCCCAGCCGGAGGCACCTGGTATCCTGGGGTGGCCTCTGTGGCTGCCCCCTGGCGGCAGATGAAGTCCCCACACAGGGAAGCCCTTCAAGGCTCTGTGACTGTGATGTTTGTGTGTGTGTGTGTTTGGGGGGGGGGGTTACCCCTCTCTGGGGCTCCAGAATCAGGTAGTCTGGGTTCAGATTCTGCCCAGGTGGGTGGGGCCACGCGCTTCTGGGCGTCAGCCCCTCTGCTATCTGGTGGCACAAGGCCCTTCCCTCTGGACTTCTTGTGTGGACTGAGATGGTGCCTGGTCTGCTCCCGGGTGGGGGGGACCCACCTCTCAGCCCAGAGGCAGCGGCTCAGCCTCAGGTCTCTAGAAGCAAGAACTCCTGGTCAATACCCAGCTCTGCTCCATAGCTGGCTGTGTGACTGAGCCTGGGTTTCTCCATCTGCGCATTGGGGGTGCTAGGCCCCCAAGGGTGGCTGCCTGCTATAGCCAGGCAGTGTCTGCCTTCTTCTTCCCCCTGCCCCACCCCACCCCAGGGCCATCAGGGGTCAGGGATGGACAAGGGGGAAGCCGTGGGCACCTCTCCGGGGCGCGCCTTCTGGTCTCACTTGCTGGGCAAGTCAAGCCCCCTCTGGGTCCACCTGAGCGAAAGTCCACGTGGGCCATGCATGGGCAGTGAGGCTGAGGTGGGCTGGCGGCCATTGTTCTGCTGTAGTTAGGCAGGGCCAGCAGCTTCCCTCCCCCTTCATGGACAGGAAAGGGGCCTCAAGAAGGCTGCTTTGAGCCCGCACCTGAGGGTCCTGGCTCAGCCGGAGGGGAGGCGCGCCCCGGGCCCCACCGGGGCCGGGCCTCTGAGACCAGGCTGTCAGCGGTGGGCTGATGGGTGGGCCGGTGCCCGCGCTCAGCTGACTGCAAACCTCAGCGGCCCCAACGCCAGGCAGCCCGGGCCGCACCCCACGACGGAGCCGGGCCTTCCGGGCAGCCGGCAGCCGGGGCCGC